TATATATATATATATATATATGCGTGCTATTGTCCTCAATCGATGCATGTCATCAATATTTCTATTTGAAAATCCTCTATCAAATAGGTATCTTTAATCAAGCTGAAAAGATAATTCTGGTATCGGCTGGTTGGACCAGGTAACGTTTTTGAAGACACAATTGCAAACGTGCTAAGAATGTGGGAGTCAAAATGTTTTCATAAAACCACTACAAAAAAAAAGGGGTCCGGGAAACTTTTGATTCTTAGATGACAGGCAATGGGGTTTGACGACTTTTGATGTGTCTTTTAATTACTTTTATGTTCTTCAAAATTCAAGGTAAAAAACGGTAAGGTAAACTTTCTCATATTACAGTAAATAGCCCTATTATGTGTGTATACATACATTAAAAAAATTTGGTAGTATTATTCTTTTCCATGAATCGATGAACCCCAAATAGAAATGGGTGCCCGGGGCTTCTCCGGGAAAATGTTGATTCCGAGATGGCGGAAAATGACATTTCCCGACTTCTGAGGTGTCTTTTAATTATTTTTAAGTTCTTCAAATTCAATTTTTCCCCCTTTGAAACAGGGGTGGTGCCAGGGGGGCAAGGCCCCCGTCGGGGAGGGCTGGCCACCCCCCGCCCCGTCGGGGAGGAAAATCACAATTCGTCGGGGAGAAAAAAATTATATGTATTGTAGACTCTAAAATCGATTAAATAAGCCTTTGAAATTGTCAAAATTTTAGGGGACCACCTTCGAAACGTTTTAATCGAAGCCGACCACGCCCACTTCCCGTGATAATTTGAAATCCCAGATTCCTGACTTCTGATTTTCCCACTGTAATAAAATATATTCAGCTTACTGGTCCAGAAAAGGTAGGTCTATATTTTGTTTTTCTTGGCAGTCCAAGGGAGTGGCTGGGACGCAGGACCCATGGCACCCAAACACCCTAAATTAGCTAAGGAGCAGCTAGCAGGAGAGTGGATTGTGCTCTGGGTTTATATTTTTATTTCGCCAATTTCAAATTTCTGCTTCTACCATGGAGGAATAAATAAGTCTACTGTCTGTTTTGTTTGGCTTTTACTGAGAATTGTGGATTACGTTTCACAGTTCTTTCATTCTTTTGACGGTTTTAAGCCTTTTTCTCAATGTTTTGATCTGCTAGGATAAGGCAGGCCACACTGTGAGTGACCGAGTCCATTGTTGTTTTAGAACAATAGTACCACATTAGCAAAGTCAGCCTTATGTCCATCCGTAGTCATTTGAATTCCCCATGGCCATTGGACCTGGCATTAAATCAGTTGCTCAGTTCTTAAAAGCACTGGCATAGTTACAGTAAAACTGATTATTTAGTTTAAACAGGCCTAACCCTCGTAGATCATCTGTGTTTCATTGGATCAAGGAATAAAATATTGCTCAAACTAGACGAAGCTGTGGGGCATGTAAACAAACGCATTACTAAGCACAAAGTTAAGCATTGCAGTGCCAGCTGAGTCAAACGTGGTGTTAATTAATGCACGATTGGTACGAAATAAGGCAGAAAATACTGTGTTGTGTTGCCCTCCGCCACTGACCCAAATTTTACATTTTTAAATTTTGTTCACAGGTCTTCCTTTCGAAAAATACCACTTCCGAAATTAACATTTAGAACATGTATTTTGACCAATATCGGACCATAGATACACGCGTAAAATCGGTAAAATAGCGTAATTTTGAGGACCGAGCGCTTGACGACGACGATCTATGCACGCAACATCACCGATCTCTTTTACTGTCAACCCACAACCCGATATAGGTCAGCCTAGCCTAGGAGACTTTTAGCATGGAGGTATATACCTATTACATCCATGCATTAGGTAAGCCATTCTTTACTACTCTACAACTGTTGGTTGCCGGAATGAAAGATAATATATTATAGTATGATTTTGCTTGGCTTGACTTGTCATTACTTTGAATAATATTTTTTTGCCTGGCTAAGCTTGCCACCGTTTTAGTGTCGTACCTAGGAGGCTATGTCTTCATATAGGGGTTGCAGTTTGAGGCCTATCACATTTCAGATATTCAAAAAAAAAAAATAAATAAAAAAATCAGACCGACTACATTGTATGTGAATACAAATTGAAGTTAAAGATGCAACTAGCACTAAATGAAGTTCTAGTTCTAAGTTCGACTAAAGTTTGTTTTAAGAATACGGGCGTTAGGCTCAGTTGGCCTAGCTAGATATCGTACTACGTGACTCAATATAACTCATTGATATTTCCATTTTAGAATGAAATTGACACAAAAACCTCAATATTTTGAAAATTCAATCTATGAAAAATTTTTCACTTAGGTTTTTAGCTTAAAAAATTATATTTAAATATCAAAAAAATAAAAATAAATAAAATAACCGACCCGATTTTTAAAAAAATTTTTAGTGTCGATCGGTAAAGGGCAATACAACATTTTTTTTGTCTTATGGCACGCCGTGAATAATGTGCTGGCAGGTCTTGTACTTTAAATTGTCGGTGAACGTATGGTGGTGATGGTTTTCACTGTTCATGGTAGTCTTGGTTAGTTGTTTATTTATAGATTTATTTTTTTTTGTTTTTACTCTCTTTTCTGTTTATGTTAAGCTCTGGAATTATGCGCTATATAAATGTAACGTTATTATCATTATTAATAGATATTTTAGCATACGACCAATGGAGTCTCAAAATCTCTTGAGATGTATCTACGCTTCATCCTTTCAACTTTCTCTAAACTAAATTAGGCGCTGCCCAACATCTGCAGTTATACAAAACAGAAGATGCGCTTCATAAACGAATTCTTTCTTATCTTATTTAATGTAAACGTCTGATTGTTTAAATGAATTGGTACACGTATTTGCTAAAATGGCTTTTCGTCTCTTCAATAACTGAATCATTTGCATATTGCCACTCTGCTGGCATAACATGGTATTAGCGCACAAATGATGCAGTGCTCCTGCAAAAACTAATATGAAGAGGTTTCCAGAAACTCCATCCCTTGAGAAGATCCTCTTGTACAATCAAATTCTGCAGAATTTGAACTATCTACTTTGACTCGTAACTTTGTGTTTACAAGTAAAAACGCGACGAGCCAAGCTTCATTTCTATTCTGCTGATGATTTATTCATTGGATATTTTATTATTTTTATTATTTTATTTTATGTATTTAGTTTATTTATGGTTGAATGAATGATTTACTAATTTATTGGCAGGTTTATTGATTGATTAGTTACTTAATATCGATCGACTCACTGCTTCATTGATTACATGATATCTCATGAGATTTACTAGTGTGTTCATTGATTATTTACAACACTTACCTAAAACTTTAGAACCCATGTTTGGTCCATTTGGTAAAGGGATGTCTTCAGTAAAATGGTTACCATTCAGAAAAATGTTTAGTTGGTGCTCAAACGGAGTGGTCTCCCATCCGATAATTAATTCTCCTCCATGAATAAAAATGTAGGTAGCATTAATACAATGATCTTGACTATCTTCAATTTCCAGGGCACCATAGATATAAAGCCGGTTCATCCATGGGAGCAGAACATCAGCAATTATCCATAGACCTAAAATAAAATACAATTTTTGATAAATTCAGCGTTATCAATTTTACTTTGACCATTATTTATTATACTTTCCTAATACCAATATATTTTGATGTTATTATTTTTTAAAAGTATATAATCGTCGTGTATAATGTTATGAAGTCAATGTACCTGGTAAAATTACGACATCATCACCGTCCTTTGGAGGGGCAAAGGATCCATTGCCAAGGTTACCACCCCATCCCTCTTCCACACCTTCCCATGCTTCAGTTGAAGACCAGAGGAAGACAGTGACATTTTCTGGTGGTGGGACATCTGTGACATCTGGAACTGGTGGAGTGCAGTTTAAATAGTAACATCTATATACTTGGAGCTTGATTGCTAACGTATCACCCTCTACAGTGTTTATGTCTTTGCCAGATACTAACACATACAATTAAAAATATAGAAATATGTTCAGGTTCATTTTTATTGATATTAATAAGTATAGTAAAAATATAGTATAAAAATAAGTATAAAGAAAAATAAAATATATAAAATTGTACGTAGATAACTACAACAAGATAGTACTTTTAAAGCGCCACAGAGTAATCGCGAATGAAAAAATAACTAATGTAAAAATTGCAAACAATATATATTACGGATAATAATAGATATAAATATAATGAAAAAATATATTGTAGACTAAAAAAAATATTAGTATTTCACTTATATGCTGATGATAATAGCAATACTATTAAGGATAATAATTAAAGTAATATCTCCAACAAATAATCACTTATCACTGTATACTCATTAAATAAAGCAAATTAAACAATGTTTTATTAGTGTTTTAAATTGCTTGTAAAACTTACCCAGGTAGTAGAGGCTATTATTCTCTCTATTAAAATAATAATCACCATATGTATTGTTTTCGTACGTCACCATCTCTTTTGTGCTATTTGTGACAACACCAATTGTTGCAAAAACATCTGGAGCCTGCGTGAAATCATGATTCATAATTACATAGTCTCCATTGTTAAAGTTATAGAAAGCTGATGAGTACGTGATATTGGTCACCTGGTCAACGTCCTCAAACACAAAGTTGTATGTGTCACCTTCTACTAACGTAATCATCCAGCCTTCAGGATGGGTGATACGCTTTTTTCGATATGGTATAGAGCTGGTCCCGTGCTGATTAGTAAACAGTGCATCTTTGTACAAAAGAGAGGACGGCAGAGGTCTGTTGAACGCCATGCGATGTAGCCTTACCGTTTCATCGCAGAATACACCATTATAACCTACACTGTAAGATACATCCGATGTACAGTGGTCTGATGGAAGGTTAGGATTGTAAGGTAGGACAATATAATTAGCGAAACCAGTTAAGGTACCGTCTAAGTCTTCAAACCAATGCTCATGTTGCCACTGGAATGCAACCTTATTTGGAGAATTATCAAATACCAGATTTTTCACTCGCGTGTGAAAGCCACCTTGATCAACTTTACAATGGGCGCAAGCACGTAAGGTTGAGCAGCGTCCGTTATTAAAATTGATGAAGTGAACGCCATCAATGGTCAGGCCCGAGTTTTTTGGAGCTTGAACTCCTGCTAAAGTGCATTCCGATTCTAAAGAGAGAGAACTATAACCAATTATTGTGCAGTCTTTTGCAAGTGCCCCATCATTATTAAATGGTATACCACTATCAATTTCTTGAAACTCAATCCCTGCTTTATCGGCATCGGAAATTAAAAAGTCATGAAATTGAACACCTCCTACTGCAATGCACTCTGCCCCACGTTCAACTTTCCAAGCGGTTAAACCATAGAACTTTGCCTGAGTTGGAGTATTTGAATTACAACCACCACCCTCCATTGGGTGGTATTCAGGGAAAACCCAGAGTCCATACCAACCCTGGGCGTGAGCTGAATTATTGTAAAATTCACCCATCACCATTTTTCGTGGACACATGGATGTGGTGAATGAAGGCCCACCAGGATGGTTTGGCATGTTGTACCAGTATCCAAAATGCGAGCCACCGGCAGCGGCATTGTGTCTCACGGTGTTGTTTGGATTGGTGATCCAGAATGCCGCAGGAGTGATGTCAACATTGAGGAGACTGGAACTACTTTTCACAAAGATTCCTAGATTGTACTGTATGATGTTTCCCATTTCAATACCATCTTCCATAAAGTATGCATGGCCCATGATATCAAAGGCAACGTTGTGTTCCACTAGTAAATTGTCAACGGAATGAATTGTAACTGCGCGATTGAATGTATGGTGAATACCACAACCACGAACATATGATCCGCTAACATCTCCATTAAAATGAAAATGAATTGGATAACGACCAAGACGGAATGCTTGACCTGCATGGGTAACCTCCACATACTCAATACGACCCGTTACTAGTTGCTGATCTCTATATTTCCCAAAAAGCTTGATCTGTGATCCAAATTGATCACTACCAATCTCTTCACCAAATCGGCCTTGGAAACATGTCTGAGTTGCAAATTGATCTAAAAAATAATATAAAATATTTTTTGATTAATTGAGAATATAAAATAATAATGAATAAAAATGCATGTATTAGTTGTGTTGGACCTACATTATTGATTATATTATTAGAAAGATATTTGCTACAATGGGTATTAATATAATGCTAAGTTACTACTGTACGCAAAATTATTTGTAAAATAGGATGAGGTTTCTGTAGTTAATTGTAATAATAGACACAGGTAGTGTATTTCCCAATTATATGATTCGACATTAAATCCGTACCTTAATCATAACCTGTGATATACTACGTTAGTTGTATTATGCTCAGCTTCAGGCCTGTAGCGTGCGGGAAAGAGGGTTAAGGGGATCACGGCGAACCGCCCAAAAACTGGAGAAGTTCCGCATTTAAAAACGAAACATTTATATTCGTGAATATATTTACAATGTTCTCAACAGTATCGGAGACCATACAAGCCAAAGGGTCCACTTTCCACTGAAACGAACCTCCCACAAATTAAGTCACGCTACGGGCCTGAATTGCTGTATGTGGCGTTATTGATCATGATACTGTTAGTTGGCAGTTAGAAATATAGTGAATAATGCATTACTTGTATCAAATTCTGCCTCACAAGCTTTAATAGTTTTTGTCCACTCATCATGCACTGAACCACGAACAACTACGTTATGTGTTAGAAGTCCAACTTCAGCTTTAGTTGATAAAAACACGCCATTTATAGTCTGTTCAATTGCTATATGCTCATACTGAAGAGGTGGGTCTACTTCAAGTGTTGTTCCATCAGACGAAATATCTAATATAATATAATATGATATATGATATTATATACACCTATTATGATAAATGATATAAAAGAGTGGCAAAAACCAAGTCATCATCCTGATCAGAATCATCACAATCATCATCATTATTATTATCGTTTTTGGACAAGATCCTCAGAAATGAAGGAATGTTATCTACTTTCTTCACAACCACATTCTTAAGCGGCAGAGCACCCGGGATCACCCAGCTATGAACAACGCTGGAATCCGTCTTCGAGTACCTTAAGGAAACTAGCCATCGACGAGTTGCTTTGTCTGAATAAAGCCAATTATATAGGATACCTTGCAAGTGTGTAGAATTTTTGGTTTAAATTGAATATATAGTGATACTGCCATCACCATTACCCATATCACCAGGCCTACTATAATTATTATCAATACAACAATTTCCACTGTCCGCCTCATTTAACCCTTTCGTAAACCGCCGTGCCCAAAATTATGTAGTTTCTACGCATGTCCTAGAATTTTGCGTCGTAAAAGCGATTGAGATTGTGAAAATAAACTCAATCTATGACGAGTATTTCCTCCCTGGGCAGAAAGTGTATTGATTACACACTGATTTTCAATGAGTGTAGTGATTTTTTTTAAGGCAAGTCCCAAATATTACATTTTACACAACTTTAAAACCAAATTTAATACAAAATTCCAAAAAACTTTGCCATGAAAGTATCGGAAAATAATAGCACAGTTGTTCAATTTCACGATTTTGTGTAATGAAACCATTACATGGGGCCAGCTATAGATATCATACATTAATTTAACAAGGCCTATGACCACAAATTTTTGTTTTTAATTTATACGGTATATCTAGCTCTAGCCAATTACTAGGCAGGTCTCTATATTGTACTAGCCAGGCCTAGGCCCTAGCAAGAGCTGCATGGTCCCTGTAGTACTAGCTAGAGTAGGCCTAGTCTAGGATAGCTCCACCTAGGCTACTATAGCTACTACTATTAGTATTAATGCGTAGTCGTAATCTTCTTAAGTTTTTAATTATTTGTTTTAAACTTTGTTTTTCCCGTAGTGTAAAATACCACGACAATAATATCGGGTTTTTTTTAAATAGAACTATATATATTTAATAGAACTCGCTAAACGTTCGTCAAAATCTTAAACCCCTCTTTCGGATCGATTACGTTCCCTTTTCACAAACTTGATCGCGTTTACGAAGACGCAAAATTCTATTTTTATTTGGCCCTACCTGTGCTGCAACGTTGTCTTCATTGTCCGTCACGACTCTGACCTTTGCTTTGACTGAGCCTTGATGAGCCTCCGTTGTGCATTTGATGACGGTGCTTGATTCGGTAGAAATGATACAGTCAGAGCCATCAATGGTTACCACATTTCCTGAAGACCTTAAGGTGGAAAAATTAAATTATATCTGACTGACTAGGAGAATGAATTTCGCAGAACAAAATGTATTCATTCTTTTAAACATTATCAGATGATTGAAAGAAGAATAACATATTTTACTTCTGTCATCATATATTTCTGAATTATATATCAATAAACATACTAAAAGAAAAATATTACTATATTGTATACTAACCAAAGAAATATGTTGCAAAAGGGTAAAGGTTAGGATGAGAAGAATGTATACTTTAAACCAAAGACTGCTGAACTTTACACATGTAATCTATTTACCAGAACTTCAATTTAATGAATGTATTCTACTGTTAATAAAAACAATAACTTTATAACATTTACTGTGTCATCAAACATTATTTGATATAATATATATATATATATATCTTTATATATATATATATATACATATTAATATATATAAATATATACAACTGTGGATGACATTGAATAAATTAAAATTTAATGAAGATAAATCTGAGGTTCTGGTTAGTACTTCTAGAAGTCAACAGTCATTACGTAGAAATATCCCACTCAATGTTAACGGATCTTTCATAAAGGCCTCTAAAAGTGCTCGTAACTTGGGTGTTACATTTGACTCACGCTAGATTTAAGTTCCCAGGCGAGTAAGGTATCATATGTAGTAGTGTACGTTAACACTTGTGTAACTTGTGGAGGATTCGAAGATTTGTAAGTCAAGATACCTATCAAGCGGCAGTTAGAGCCCTTGTACTATCGCAAATTGACTACTGTAACTCGCTCTATGGTGGTCTTTTCAAGAAAGATATTGATAGGCTGCAGAAATTGCAAACCTCGGCTGCTCGCTTAGTCTTTTCATGTGATCCTCGTACACACTCTGCTCCTCTTATCAATGAACTTCACTGGTTGCGAATTATTAACAGAATTATTTTCAAAATTATGCTCACTGCATGCAATCCATGGTTTTTCTCCAAAACTATTTATGTGGTTTTCTTGGCCAATGTCTCCCTGCAAGTACAACACGTTGCTCATCGTCTGTGCATTTCACTATACCACGTCACAACAAGAGAATCGGAGGTGTTTCATTCCCTTTTTATGCTTCCAGAATAATCTTCCAACTGACCTTAGGGATATTTCAGATCCTAATCGTTTTAAAGGTGTACTTTCGACTTAAACCGTCACTTTCCTCTGCTTTTGACTTGTTTTGTTTAATTGTTGTAATTTGTATTATTGTTTGCGAGACTGTGGTTGTAATGCGTGGGGTCCCTGAATGATGACCAATAATTTGAAACTGAATAAAAATTTATGTTTACCTGAATCCGGTACCAGTAATAGTGATGTCAGTCCCTCCGCCAGTACCGCCTCTGGTGGGGTTCACTGAGCTTATGATGGCCGTTAGCGAAGATTTGTAGGTGAATGAATCATTCAAAATTGCACTTAACCCACTATCAACAGAAACCTCGATGTCACAAATAACTGTTGAAGTGTCTGCAATGAAACAAAATATAATGGAAGAATAATTTTAGAGGTACAGTAGGCCGATTAATGTTTTGAGCATGTATTACAAGGAACGTAGCAATAATAGTCTCCAATTATTCTCTAACTCGCAGCTTCATTGTGCTGAAATGGGTATGTATCCTTAACTACCTAGCTGTTGTAAAAAGGGGCTTATAGTAGCTTCATGTTCACATCATTCCACATGAGCCACAGCATCCGGATAACGCCCTAGACTCCCGGAAAAAAGAAAGAGATGGTAGTCCAAGTATGCGGAGACGATCTTGACATTCAAAATCACGTAGGCCTATAGATGTAATAAGCTTAGTCGCTCTGCGCTGAACATTTTCAATAACTATGACGGCCTTTTAAAATACTGGACTCCATACAAAATTACAATATCCAAGTGTAGGGTGGACGATAGCTTTATAAATGAGAAGAAATGAATCTGTAGATAATGTCAAAAAAAAAAAAAAAATGCGCTTGATTAAACCCCAAACGGCTATTTGCTTTCTTAGAGATTTCTGCCGCATGATCACTAAATGTTAAACGAGAATCGCAGGTTAACCGTAAGTCTTTTTCACTTTGTACACATTGGATTGGATCAGAAGAATCCCGATTGAGGAAATATGAAACAATATTTTGTTTCATGAATATTGAATTATGCACATTTACTCTGGAATTTTACTTTATAAAATATGCATATGAATTATCAGTACAAATTTGGCTTACCTATCCCATTGTTAGCTGGTATTAGGCACTGCAGGTGGGTATATGTTCCCGATGTCACTTTACATATGTTGCCGCAAACTTTAACAGTTGTTCTTTCTTCGTCAAAACCAGAACCCGTTATATTTAGCATCTTTCCTCCAGCGAAACTTCCTGCAAAAAACGAGACAAATATACTTTCGATAAGTATCAATAAACATATGAATCGACTTTTTTTTATTTAGCTTCATTTAAATAAGTATATATAATAACTATTTTTTAACGATTTACAGTATTTTGTTTAAAGAGCGCATTATTTTTTCATACTGCACTATCAAAATATGAAATTATTACTCTTTGCCGTCTGAAAATGCATTCTCTGTGCAACGTATATTAACTTTTTATTATTTACAAACATTTTGCTCTTTGGGAAAAAAATATAAAGAAGAGGGCTTTCGTTTAGGCTATCAGGAACATACCACATAACGTAACAGTCAAGCTAACGGTATATACTATGAATGGTGCTTCGCACTTTTAGTTTATGTCGGTACCTTGATCAACAGTAAACAATAAAAAGGAGCGTGGCGCAAATATTCTTTTAAAACTGTGAGGATAGACAAGAAAGGTCTATACCGCACAGCCTGCTATGACTGGTGGAAGCCAATAGTATACCGTACCTTATCTAGGGGCAATCCGAGATATTCTTAATGTAAAATTTGAGTTATAATGATAAGCACCGCTGCTTTCTTTGCTATTCTTTCTTAATCACATAAAATAATTTGTCTTACAATTTTGAACACATAAGATGTGTATAAGAGACAGGTTTATTAGATATTCATTTTTCCTATTATTTATTATTAAGAAAATAAATGATATCATAATTTAAAAAAAACCCCAAAAAAACAAAAAACAACATATGCCTACCGTCTGCTGGGGAACTACCAGAAACAGTAAGAATATATTGAAAGGTTGTTTCTGAGGCGGCTTTTCCAAGGTTAAAAACCGAAGCCTCGATGGTGTAAATACCAGCAGCATGAGGAGGAACCTCACACGTGATCTTTGTAGATGTCACGTTACTGACAATACAATATATGTCATCAATCTTAACCTCGACGTCAGCGGTTGAGGATCCAAAATGAGTCCCAGTAATAGTCACAGTATCACCTGCATTACCCGATAATGGATACACTGAGGATATTGTTGGAGTGGTTGCAGCAGAAAATCCAAAAGACTGATCGGGGAAATCCAGACTATTTGTGGTCACAACAAGGTATACATCACTGGCGGAATGTGATTCTGTGATGCACGTTACTGTAGAAATGTTAACAAATATGATTCTGCACACATCACCATCAATTTCTACTGATGTATCATCGTTGTGAAACCCACTACCATCAATCGTGATGACAGTACCACCTTTCGTACTTCCTTCATTTGGGTTGATGCTATATATAACCTCTTCTCCCCAGACAAACTCGCCATTGATCAAACGTGCATTTCCGTACCTGTTTCGGTGAATAAGAATTGCTAAGTCGCCTGCCGGAACATAGGCAACATCACATTCAATCCAATCATCTATAACTGAAGACACAGCACAATTAACAGTTCCGAATGTTACAGTGACATCTTTGACTTCACTACCAAAATTAGATCCATTGATATACACCGTTGTCGAAGGACCACTGATTGTGTCTGGATAGATATCATGAACTTCCATCGTCAAATACTGTTGGTAAGTGAAATTGAATTGCTGATTGTCAATGTTGATGGATGACTGGTGGTTTATCTCTACAACTACGTCAAAGACATGACCAGTAACATCATGGGGCGTGGTTGAACAAATAATCTGTGTATAGTTGAAATATTCAATGAGACACGACTCTGGTCCAAGTGACACACTCATTTCATTAACAGAACCAGCAGAAAATCCATTGCCGTTAATAGTCAAGCGTGTTCCTCCAGCTAAGGAACCTTCACGTGGATCAACAGACCATATGCTTGGGACAAGAATGTAACTTTTAGTTGCGGGCGTATCAAGTGAATTATGGGCAAAGCCTTTGTTCTTTACATTTAAACTTATCTCTTGATAGTAGCCAACCTGAAGCGAACTTTCAGTTTCAATACTGCATTTTATAACAGAATCGTTACTAAATATCACGCTGCAAGAGTGGTGATATCCAATCTGAACTTCATTTTCGCAATTACGATCGCTAAACCCAGATCCTGTTATAGTAATAGTTTGTTCTGCAGAGCCAATCAATGGTTCGATTTTCTCAATAATCGCTGTACTGCAATCCCAGAATGAAAAGAAAAACTTCGACTTGTCATCAATTGTTGGCTTTGGAGAGAAACAAATGGAGATAGTGTCATCTCCCCCAGGACATCCACTGCTGTCGGTCGGGGCAGTGGCCTGGGCATTGAATTCATGTTCAGCAGCAATGCCGTTTAATGTCACGGAAGCCGGGTAAGCAATCGATCTATATGGCAGAACACGAATAACACCAGTGAGGTAGAATTTGTTGTCATCAGAAACATCTGAATTAACTGGACCACTTGAATAGTAATAATATCCTTCATTGTTAAACTTGTATAAATATTTACCTACAATGTGAAAGAATAGTAAAACACACATGATAAAATGAAAAAAAAAAGTCAGAGTATGTATGTTAGGGGGTTAAGGACATTCAAACAACTCTAGTGAAAATACTGTCCATCATAGATAAAATCTGTGCGTACCCCTTAGACCAGTTAAACAGGCCATAAACCAGCAACTGAACAGATATATTGGATTAACTTTTTGTTACATGTATTTCATACCGTTAATCGTTCTGTAATCGTTCAAACTTAAGAACTATTTACATTTTGAATTATCAATCAATCAGTCAGTCAGTCAGTCAGTCTGTCACTGAATCAGTCACTCAATTCTCCTTTTGTAATTGCCATTTGCTCAGGGTAAAAAACAACCGTTTAGATATGTTAATAATACACATGTGCCTATATAATCAGAATAGAAAACACTAGGCAAAAACTAAAATGAAACTGCCGCAGTAATGATTTATTAACCAAGCGCTGATATATTAATATATCTGTCAACCTACTGTGGTTGGTATAATGTGAGGAATATATAACTATATACTTACCACTTTTTGAGCGGGGCCCTGCATAGAATCCATGACCATCATATTCAACAGAATCTGCATCAGCCGTTTGTTGGACCGTAAACCCAACTGACTCTACTAAAGCTGGTGTTGACCACTGCCACATAACTGTATCACCCGCAATTATATCTAGCACCTGTGGATCCCACTTGTAACCAACGCCATAATCTACAAAAGAGAAACAAATAAAAAATAAAAATACTATAATTTGTATAAATAATCAATCATAAAATAGCGAGGGATTGAAACCCCGACCTCTTGGTTGGGAAACCTAACCGTTCACACTGAGCCAAACCACTTTGTGGGTTTCGAAATCAATTACTTCTTATTAGTAGGTAGTAATTGTAATATATTTAAATAATTAACAAAATCCTCAATTGTTTACATGTTAGTTTTGCGTTTCATTTATTAAATATCATATGGCACTAAATCAGAATTTACTCTCGTTAAAGACGTCAGCAATTTTTTTTCCAGATATCTCGTTCATGAGTCGTCGACGTATACGGACGTACATTCTCGAAGCTCTCTAAGCTGCTTATTACGTAATACTATAGTGTATTTGCCATCGGTGTTACCCGAAGGGAGCGAGTTTTGCGCCCGGTTGTATCTGAAGCCTCAGGGCACACCTCGAGCCTAGATTTGGGCATTAACCAAAGGTGGATCGTATTATCTGATGTTTTTTTTGCCACCGTTCGTCAATTTTAATAACTTTTTCGGATGTATTCTGCTGGCTTTTTATTGGAATTATCATAGTCTTTCTTATAATTCTATGGATATCGCACAGGCCTACGGTACTAGGACTAGCCTACAACATGGTAAGGTGTCACCATATTGCAAAAATTCAATGCTTTACCACTACTATTGTGGCTATGTTGATTGTGTCTGGACTTGACATATCGACATCTAATTATCAGAAAGTTAATGGCATATCTGATTATGTTTTTTACCCGATGTATCAGCGAAGACGACTTGGTTTTCGCGCCACGAACGTTACGTCATCATATCACAGTGAACCATTTGTAGTGCGAAACAACACCGTGCACTTTAGGCCTATCAGTTGTTCAGCGAAACTTAACGAACTTTGCTATATTATTTATTGCACAAGTAAACAATGTCCCAATTTCAAGCGGAAGTTTTCCTGAGCACCTACTCGGTACTATCCGGCTTCAAACGCCAGTTTTAATATTTTGATTATGTCTGTGGATATCCACCCTAACCCAGGCCCTAATGGCAATTCATCGTCCTGCAGTGGTCAACCAACCAAAAGAACAGTTTCAGTTTTACTCTCTGACTGTCGCAGCATTCGGAATAAGTCTCTCGATTTGGATATATATTACGACAATAAACCACACGGACTTGATATTATTTGCCTAACAGAAACATGGCTGAATTCAATGGATGACTCGAGTATGTTGCATTTTCTAACAAGTTCGATATTTTTCGCAGAGACCGTGGAACTGCTACCCACGGAGGAGGCATACTTATAGGCATTAATAGCTCATTAAACTCGAAGGAAATCGCATCCGAATCTGATATTGAAATGATGTGGGTTTCTATATCATCCCCCCAAAATCTCATCTACTTTGCCTTGTCTACAGACCCCCGGATTCAACCATTGCGTTCTGGGATCACTTTGAACACGCATTAGCCCGCCAAGATCACTTGTTTTACAAGTATGACTCTGTTGTCATTCTGGGCGATTTTAACATCAATTGGCCAAATGCTCCATATCAATTCACCGATGTGATGAATATCTACGGTTTTGATCAATTTGTTAGTCACAACACAAGACCTTCCACAAATGCTAATGACGGGTCAAAGATAGACCTAGTTTTTCGAACAGTTCGCCTTCTTTTAATACTATATGGGTTGTCGATAATCCGGTCATGAGCGACCACCATGCAATCGAATTTGAGCTCGATTTCCGTCAATCTCTGCCACCGACATCCACAATGTGCTCATTTATCAAGTGGAAAAAGGGGGATTTTAATCATTTGAAAAACCTCTTGCATTTTGCACCATGGATCGCTTTTCTTAATCATAATGACGCAGAAGCGTCATAGAATGGATTTATGGATATTTTCGATGCTGCGGTACGGGACAGTTTTCCCCGAGTTAAAAGCAAGGCTCGTAAACAAAGTAGTCCGTGGATAACAAAAGATATTAAACGTATGATTCAGAAGAAAAAGGAACTTTTCATTGAATCTAGACGTTCTGCTTTACCAGATCATTGGGAAGCTCACAGAAGATGGCGAAACAAAGTGAATTACGCTATTAGGAAATCCTATAATGATTACGTAAATGATATTTTTAAATCTGATGATAATAAAAAACGTTTTTTATCCTTTGTAAAGGAGAAACGGTCATCTTGTTTACCTAATAAATTTATTATTCCAGTAAATAACTCACACTTTTCCAACATTCAAGACATTGTTAACGGCTTTAATTACTTTACTTTACTTTACCTCCACTTTTAATCAGTTCAACGATAATTTTAATTTTAGCGACCCTCCTGTTTGCTTACTTCAAATCCCGGCACTTACTGATGTTTCATTTACTCCGGATGATATCATCACAACTATCTCCACATTTCGTTCAAATTCGGCACCTGGTCCAGATTTAATCTCTGCCAAATTACTGAAGCCGATATCCAACTTGATTGCATATCCCCTTTGGATTTTATATCCTACCTCCCTCAGTTCTGGAACTGTGCCTAGTGATTGGAAGTGTGTAAATACTATTCCCATTTATAAGTCGGGCGACAAGTCTTTAATATCAAACTACAGGCCAGTAGCTCTTTCGTCTTTGATATGCAAGGTTTTGGAGAAAATTATTGAAAAAACAGCATTAATAATTTTAAATACGACAATGGTTTACTCAATCCAAATCAACATGGATTTGTCAAACGCAAATCATGTTTAACTCAACTTAATAACATAAGCTACCAGTGGTCTAAGATACTTGATAGACGTGAACCCTCAATTATCGATGCCTTATTTCTAGATATGAGCAAGGCGTTTTGACATTTTATTATACAAAATTGCTACAAATCTTAATATCCAAAGATGTGTTTGGAAATGGATATCTTCATATCTGACAGGTAAAAGACAAAGAGTCTGCTTTAGAGGAGTTACCTCTACTTCACTTCCGGTCACTTCTGGTATCCCTCAAGGTAGCTGCCTTGGTCCGATCCTGTTTAATATGTTTGTTAATGATGTTAATCTTAATGTTTTATCTACATGCATACTTTTTGCTGACGATATAGTACTCTACAGGCATAGACGTAGTGCGAATGATATTATTACTCTACAAAAGGATATTGACAGTTTGTGTATTTGGGCTAATGATAATAAAATGAAGTTTAATGCTAAAAAGACTAAATTACACATTGATTCGAAGTTGAATTGAAATTTCAAATTGATAATTTTGATCGCTAGAGCTAACAGAATGGTAGGTTTTATTTTTTCTGTTGCTGGTAATTGCTCTCCAGACGCTATTTCATGTCTATACAAAGCATTAGTCCTACTAATTCTTGAATATGGTTTACCGGCATGGGGTCCAAGAACTACAAGTAACATAGACCGTATCGAAAAAGTTCAAAGAAGGGTATCTAGGAGAATTCTTAGACCCCACTGTAGGCTAGTATCATATGACGAACGTTTAATTACACTTGGTTGGCTATCTTTACGTGATAGACGATTAATGATTTTAATTTCGTTTATTTTTCGATGTTTATATAAGGTTGCATCCTGTAACAGTATTTCCAACAACATTCAAGTCAACCCGCGTCATACCGAATCACTCACGTTTATTCATCATTTTGCTCGTACTGATGCTTTAAAATATACTTCAATCCATAATTTTCCTGTTGTTTGGTCATCACTTCCCCCTTTAATTAAAGATTATGCTGTTGTTCACCCTCTTAAATTATTTTTATTTAAGTTAAAGAAAACACCTACTTGATAATACATAAGTTTTGTATAAATTGCAACTCCCTGATTTGCATTTTATTTGCATCTATTTTACTGGACCTTTCTATTTGTTGGTCTTTTATATGCTTTTTTTTTTTATTGAATTTGTAAATATCTGAATTTTAACAATGTAAAATTTTGTTTGTACAGGGGTTGCAGACACATTCGTGTTATGGCGCATTGTTGCTGATGCAACACTTGGACCGTTTGATGTCAAATAAATAAATGAAATGAAAATGAAAATGAACAAACCTTCATGTTTGCCTTGATTGGTAACCTCATGCACAACACCTGAACTCCCAGAGATGCACATAATTTGGTCATCTGTGACATCTGAGACCTTGCATGGCACGTGACCAAAGAGTACTTCTACCAACGACATATTGGTGCCAAATCCTGATCCCGTAACATATACTTTAGTACCACCTTGTAAGGACCCATGATCAGGAAAGACATCGTCAATTACCAGGATATACGAAAATTTAGTTTGAACTCTGAAAAATATGTAATTATTTTTTGATGTAATAAAAAAAATCTGCATTCATCCATCAAGGAATACATACCCTCTCATTAATAACAATATTGATAATCGAAACAAATATTAAACATTTCAATGATATAGATGTAGCCGTGTAATATTAATAGAGATACAAAAGATACACATACAATTATTCTGAAATAACATGTGAGTTTATAAAGGCCAACTCAGACAGCGTCGGCCGAATCAGCCCGATCGATTTATCGTCGGGGACAGTCTTAAGCCGTCGTGAGAAATATTAAACACGTTTAATATTCTACGACGCAACTGCCCCCGACGCACACCATCGCGTCCGCGTTTAACTCGCACATACCCGACGCGACAACAAATCACGCCGGGCTGCGTCGTACGACGCTGTCTGAGTTGGCCTTAACTAACCCAACTTTTGCATATCCTTTTCCTGGAACTGATACCATGACGTCATAAGTTCCTGGCTTGTTTTCAGGTACGATGCATTTAATGCTGGTTTCATTGAAAGTTGTTAAAGAACACTCTTTCTTATTAATGGTGACTGTTGGCTTTTTGGTACCAAGACTGGTTCCTGTTACAAGAAGCGTATCTCCACCTATAAAATTATGTAAAATTTGGCATATATATATATATATATATA